TCCTGCTACCAAAAAAGGAGTTTCTAAACATTTTTTAAAAATGGATAAACCACGCACAAAAAGAATGAATAAAATGACAGAAGTTATGCTCTGCAAATAAAGATGTGCCAATAGAGAGTATTTATGTCACTTTTTGGTCTTCAGGTTTCATGCCAATAACCAAAGTTGGGAGCTGAAGCTCCCTACAGTATTACATGAGAAAGCACAGTTCAGTTCACACAAATTAAAAACTGAAGATGTGTGCAACTATGTATTAAGAGGTCTAAACAACATGAAATTATAGGAAATGTTTAAAACTCCCACTTAAACAATATGTTAAAAACTGTTGTTGGAACTTGTGGCAACAGTTTTAAGTATAAAGTACCCAAATAATGTGAAAAGTACAAACCAAATGATAGACACACTCCAAAGCAGAGCTGTAGAACATGCAGAATTAATCAAAGCAGTATTCGCAAAAAAGAAATACTCATAATAACCTAATACATAATTTGTTATTTAATACACACCTCTTGTTTCTACAGCATGAATACATTTCCTCACAAAGTTGAAACCTGCTTCATTTAAGAACACTACGAAAACAAAAAAAAGGTTATTATTTTCTAATGTATCAATACACAATTCTCAGTGTTTAGCTATGTTCACATGTTAGTCAGGAAGGATTGATACACATTTACACATGAGATCACGATACTTACTCTGTAAGAGTATTCTTATAGATATAACCTTTGCACTCAAATATCCAACTTTTAAATCATTAGTGGATCATTACAAGCAGGATATTAAACTGTCTTGCTCAGAAATCAGTAGGCCCTCTACACATATGTATTTGTGTCAATACAGTAACAGGTTAATAACATATATGTGTCAATATGATGCTAATGGCAATGTGCACTTGCAGCCCAGGAAGCCAACTGTATGCTGGGCTGCATTACCAGCAGCATGACCAGCACAAGGAAGGGGATTCTCCCCCTCTACTCCACACTCATGAGACAGACTCTGGAGTACTGAGTCCAGCTCTGGGGCCCCAACACAAGAGGGATGTGAAACATAAGTCCAGAGGAGGCCATGAAGATGATCAGAGGGCTGGAGCACCTCTGTTATGAAGAGAAGCTGAGAGATTTGGGGTTGTTCAGCTTTGAGAAGGCTCTGGGAGACCTTATATAGAAGCCTTCCAGTATCTAAAAGGGGCCTAAAAGAATGCTGAAGACGGACTTTTACAGAGCATGTAGACAAGGGGGAATGGCTCTAAACTGAAAAAGGGTAGATTTAGATTAGATATTAGGAAGAAATTCTTCACTGCAAGGGTGGTGAGACACTGGAACAGGTTGCCCAGAGAAGTTGTGGATGCCCATCCCTGGAAGTACTCAAGACAAGGTTGGACGGGGCTTGGATCAACTTTTTCTAGTGTGAGGCATCATGGCAGCGGGCTTGGAACTAGATGAGCTTTAAGGTCCCTTATAACCCAAACCATTCTGATTCTAATACAATTACACACAAAAATCTCACAGTATCTTTAAGTATCCTCATTTTATTACTCAGTGTATATTTAATAGGTGCATATAGACCTAAAGCCCAAAAGATGTGATGGGCTGAGCCCAGTTATATGAGGTACAAGGCAAAGTGCCGGGTCCTGCAGGAGGTCACAACCTCATGGAATGGGGAAGGGTGGCTGGAAAGCTGCTCAGCAGAAAAGGTCCTGGGGGTGTTGCTCAAAAGCAGCTGACCATGAGCCAGCTTGTGCCCAGGCAGCCAAGAAGACTGACAGCACCCTGGCTTGCATCAGAAAGAATGTGGCCAGCAAGACCAGGGAAGCGACTGTCCCAGCACTTATGAGGCTGCACCTCAAATCCTGTGTTCAGTTCTGGGCCTCTCACTACATGAAAGACATTGAGGTGCTGGAGAGTGTCCGAAGAAGGGCAACAAAGCTGATGAAGGGTCTGGAGCACAAGTCTGATAAGAAGTGGCTGAGGGAACTGGGGTTGTTTAGACTGAAGAGAAAGAAGCTGAGGGGAGACCTTATCACTCTTCTACAACTACCTGAAAGGAGGTTGTAATGAAGTGGGTGTTGGTCTCCTGACCCAGGTAACAAGCAATAGGAAAAGAGGAAATGGCCTCAAATTACACCAAGGGAGGTTTAGATTGGATATTAGGAAAAATTTCTTCACCAAGAGAGTTTTCAAGCACTGGAACAGGGTGCTCAGGGAAGTGGTGGAGTCACCATCCTTGGAGGGATTTAAAAGACATGTAAATGTCTTTTAGTCCTATTAAATCATACAACTTAAGGACATGGTTTAGTAAGACTTGGCAGTGCTAGGTTTACGGTTGGACTTGGTCTTTTCCAACCTAAATGATTCTACTATTCTATATAGGAATTTTATTTCAACACAACAGCATGCATTTTCATTTAGGTATATAGACTACTGATAAAAACTTTTTATAATTTTGTAAAATATACTGTAGCTTCAAAGCCAATCAATTTTTTTTCCAATTTATGTTTGATAGTAATACGAAAATTGAAGGCTTTCTTACAGTTTACATAGCTTAGGATGTGCTTTTGTGTAACCCAGTTGTGTAAGCCAACAGACAGTTATTTCATAGCAACAGAATGAAAATGTTAAATAATTAATCTCTCTCTTACACACATATATCTAGAAACCTGGACATTACAAATTACCAATATTCAGTAACTACATAAGTAAAGAACTTACTTTCTTCCTTCTTGCTAATAATGGCTGGCAAGGTGTAAATCTGTAAACAGAAAAAAACCCACAGCAGATCAGTATTTGCACTTTAAATTCTTTACTGTTTTGTTGGTAGTTGCAACATGCTGTGCATTAGCTTGCCACTAGGGAAAAGCCAACCTTGCCTTTCATCTTCTCTTGATATTGAATGCCCTAGCATTTGATTTGCAGACTACCAAATAGTTTAAAATTCAGTACAACTACTGATCTTATTTCTGTACCATTTCAGTCAAGCAAGAAGCTTGCAGAAACACTTTTCTATCTCATAAAACCAATAAACCATTTTTTCCCCCCTTAGATACAGGTCTGACATCACCCTCATTCAGTGGATATTTTAAGAGCACATTAATAATGGGAAGAAATCTCAGACTGTCTCTCAGTAGCTTTCAACACAGTTTTATGCTCTCTGCAGTGCCTTTCAAGATGGTGCTAATTGTTTACTTCACGACACTACCCAAAAGATGGTTTGTCTTTACCAGGGCAGAAACTATCAGTTCACAGATGTTAAATCATATTAGACAACATGCTATCATGTTAAACATGAAATATCCTAATATAAAATAATAATATTTAAAGGATTAAATTCACTAATAGTTCTGCTTTTCTAACTTTTACCTACCTTAACTATGTACTTGAAATAGTATCTCACAAAGAACAGAACTGAATTTGCCTCTACTATAACAGAGTATCTGAAAGGCATACTAGCTTCTTACTTTAATATGTGCGCCATGAAACTGTTAAAAGAAAATGAAAAAATATCCTTACTGGTTCCTTTCCATCCATAGCTTCGAGCCAAAGTTTTCGGTTGGATTCTGAAAAAGCCTGCAGTGTGATGATTCCAGGTCTGTCAAAAACATACACATACACTGAAATTACTGATTTCTTTTTCTCAAACAGTATCCAAAGTCAGAATCCAAATACATATTGACATGAAGTGAACACATATAAGACATAGAGAAGTTAAAGAAAGTTGACGACTTCTAACACAACAAATAATTTTGATGTAGATTTAAGAACAGGTCTGTTTTGTAAAAGTTTGGTACTGCAACATGTAATTTTAGACTCTTAGTCTTAAGCGCTACAACCCTCTAATAGGTATGAGGTACCTCCATATTGCAAAATGAGTTATACGCCTGCAAATGGGATCCCATACAACCCATTTTTTAGTGGGGAGGTGCTCAGGGTGGAAATCTCAAGGACAAGATATATCAGCTCAATTTGACTAAATATGTCCGTACCTGAACTCATTATCTACGTTCCTTTCATAGCAAATGAAGACCAGTAGGTACTTTTAATCTAAAAGTCATCATATTCCAAAATAGACATCCAAAGTCAGTCAAAAGAAATATGCCCCAAAACTGTTGCCTAGAAAAAGCACTTTGAAATAGTATCTCAAGTCTGGAGATGTAAAGCCAATTGAGCTGAGTACTGTCATGGTGCAGGAATTTTTTATTTCAGGGGAATCAAAAAACCAGTTTGTTCTGCTGGCTGTACTCTAACCACTGTGACTGAAGTCAGAAAAGTGGCCTATCCTCTCTTTTGATGAAGCTTTGATGTTAATAGAAAAAGAGTCATGGGAACTAGTGAAGGGATGAGGAAACCAATTTCAATCTTTGTTCCTGGAATAATTATATGAACAAACAGGGAAATATAAAGAGTTAGTCTCTACTTGCGATCACAGGCAAATGAGTTCTTTAAGAAATGCTTTCAAATTAATTCACTCATTGGCCAACATAGAATGCCCATGTGACAGTAAGAAGTCCTGGTCCCACACCAGTGTAGTGTATCTCTGCTCAAACTTTCAGCAGACTGTCCAAAATGGTGAACTTTCTATGATAGGTTCACAAATAAAGGACACTATAGATTTTATCTTCCACCATAAAAATAAATACACAAAACACCAGCATCCTTCCCTACCTCCTCCAAAAGACATACGTTTTCACCTGTATTTAAAAAGCATGCAAGAAAGCAAATGGACAACAGAAAATATCAAAATGTGTTCACACATAAAAATTCCAAGCTGAGTATTTTGTTTGCTATCTACTATCACAAGTATAAAAAAATACAGTTAACGCAGATTAAGACGTATAACTGTTTTTCTATTTTCTTAAACTCTAAATTTATTTCTGTTTTAATATTCTATTTGCTTTCTACCCAAAGATTCTTATCTAGGAATTTTTCTCTCAAAAACATTTTAGATATAGAAACTGATTTTTTTTTACTTCTTTCTATTGTGACTGCTGCTTAATATTTCAGTTGGAAAATTGGACTTACAACCCCTTGGTCAGCATGTACAGAAAGAACAGAAGTTTCTGAGTGTCACTTTACTTCAGGGTTAGAGATACCTACTTTTAGCTCCGGATTTCTGATGTAACCTGTTGGCCAAATTTGCCGTCATTGCACAGCATGTTTTAACACACAAATATCTAGTACCATAATCCCTGGAGTAAATTTTAAATTAATTATGCCAATTAGAAAGGCTCACAATGTGTGTTCCTCATTACTTGCTCACAAGGGCTTCTTTCAGTTAAAATGATTCCTTCAAGAAATGCGTATCAGTCTGCAAAGATTTCCAATGCTTTAATAAAATAGTATTTCATATAACGTTTCATAGAATGCTGCAAATAATAAGGCAGGGAGAGAGTTATCTCTGTGAGATAAAGTGTTTAGAGACAGAAGTTAGCCAGAAAATCTTGCAAGAATATTTTGAAGACTGGTGTAGCTGCACAGTTTTGAGAAGAGCTTTTTCATGATGAAAGTCATACTCTCACATTACTATGGAAATTTATCTATTGTTGTCAGTTTTCAAAAGTTTTTAAAGAACTTGAGGTTTTTCTTTGCAGGCGATGTCCAAGATTATACTCCCAGTAAAGAATATCAAGTCTTGAATTTAAAATTAGTTCAAATGTAATCATTATCACAGCCTTCTGAATCTTCAGTATTCCAGTACTGTGTTCATATTTATATGAACTGGCTTACATTCCTAGTCATTACTGTCATCAGTAATAGCCACTGCATTTTCTCTTTCTTAGGGGAAACTCGTTTTATCAACACAACATTCAGAAGAGATGGATGTTGTCCTTGTATGTGAACTCCCACCAAATATTTCTAGGTATTTCATTGTCTATTTACCTCCTCTGCTGACTTGTACAAAAATTCATTACTTCCCTGCTGAATACCAAATCAATTGGAAAAGTGAACTTTCAGCGTGTGGAAGTCAGATCCTTGTAATAATGACCTAATAACTTTGTATTGTACTCCTGTTTCAACCTTCTATGCAAGTTTCCAGAATGCCTGTAACTTACAGGCCATGCAGATATAATCAATCAGAATGTTCAGAAGGAATAAATAACATGTAAAAAGTGCCTATAACTGTCTCTCTGATGAGAACTTGAAGAACTGCAGATGGAACTAACTTTTCTGTGTAGTTTTGCTGAACTGTGGATGTTCGAGTAGAGTAAGGGAGACAGAAGGGACAATGCTCACTTGTGAATATGTTACAACAGTACTGACACAGATGTGTCTAATAAATGCAATTCTTACTAAAAGAAACAACTACGAATCTCAAACTCAACCTGTCAATTCAATCTTAGGAGCTTTCAAGAGACCAATTAGTCTCAATATTTGTTCATATCATATTTCTATTTCTTAAACCTGAACACACTCAGAAATCTATTTTAGCAAAATAATGTATTATATTTAAAAGCACCAAAGTAGCCTCAAAATTATTACATAAATACAGCAGCTCTGAATGGAATTTAAAATGACAGCAGCAGTTGTAAGATATTTCTTAAGAGAACGACTACAAAAGTCAGTCTGTTTATCATATTTTAAGGGAAAAATTAATTCAATATTTCTCTTTATTCTCAAGCTTGGAAAAAATACATTTACAAAGTTCCGTGTACATACACTTCAAATACAGAAAAGCTGTTTTAATCTATCTTATATAATTATAATATCCAGGAATAAGTGAAAAATAAACTAACCAACTTGTAGAAGTAATTTTCGAAAAAGAAAAATTACGTGCTATCATACATTTCTGAACAAAATATATTGGTACAGAATATGCTTATTAGTATTTATAAAAATAGGTATGATCTGTTCCTAAAAGAGGGTAGTCGGTTGTGATACAGGTGATACAAGAATCCATGTTGTATCTGCATGCAAACATAATGTGCTTAAGACAACACCTATGCAATGTAGTGATTTTGTTAGAAAAAAGGTTTGAACAAGTAAGGGCCAACTCTTGAGAGCCTAGTTTGTCTGTATAAAAGCCTATTGAGAAATACGTGTTCCCATTACAGGAGTAATTATTAGATATTGGTTACCAGGGCTTTTATTTTTAATTATTTGCAATATGTTAACACAATGAAAAAAAAAATCAAACCTCTCAAATACTTCAATATCAAAACAGAAACGTTTGTCAATTGAATCTGTCTTTCTCCTGATGCAAGATTTTAGCTTGAATATTTCTGGTGAGCTTGTGACAAGGCCATTCTATAAAACAAAATAAAACAAAATTGGCACAGGCAGTATGCTGATACACCTTGGCTTCACATCTTAAATTTAACTGTTTCAACTGTCCAAAGAATGTGACTTATGACAGGGATTAAGATTTCTTTAGGAACATATACAATAATTTCTCTGTATATAAATTAAGACTACAGTTAACAGCTTTCTGACACATACTTGTTATTTAATCACTGTGTTTCAGAAAACTCCCTAAATTCAAAATTTTACAAACATCAGCATGTCTAATATGATTATATGTTACATGTTAGAATGAGTATTACTAATCAAAAACTGAAACTGGTTGCCCACAGAGGTGGCCAGGTCCCCACCCCTGGAGATATCTAAAACCTGATTGGACACAGGGTTCGATAACATGCTCTGGATGAATCCAGATTTCAGATTAGACTAGATGATCTCCAACCCCCCCTTCCAAATATCATCCATTCTATGATTCTGTGCAAATGTGATTTGATTTCTTACACATTTGGAACCACAACATTAGACAATTCGTTATGCAGTTTATTTAAATACTTTATTTATCTACACTGTAAAAGACATGCACTGCTTCATGTATGAAAACAGCCGTATGATATGGTCACATTTTTTTCAACAGTTCCTGAATGCTTAATATAAAAGATGGAATATACAGTTCATGTATGTGCAACTCACCACTTTTCCACCAGATTTTGTTTCAGCTATACTCATTGTAAATGTTTTTGTTCCTTTATCATAAGTGCAGTAATGTTTTACCCATGTAAATCCAAGAGGTCCTAGATGAAAGAGAGATAGTATTAAAAAGGATTATTTTGGCATTTTATCACTATTTTAGTTAGAGAAATAAAGCATAACAGCATCCACATGTAGCCTACAAAAATCAGAAACTACCCTAATTTTTTAATTTGGACATGTTGTTCAGGTATAATTTTCAGTTACTGAAGCTTTATAAGGTTGGCCAACAATGTTACAGCAGACTGATTTTCTCTGTCAACTGGATGGGTAACAGCATTTTACTAGTGTAAACAGGCAGGAGACAGGAAAGATCCTGAGGACTTTTCTGCCTAGGAAATACAGTTGAAGATTTTATCATCCCAAGTGAAGCACAAGGATTCAGTATTACATCTTTTCTCTGAGGGAACCTTGAAGTCTGGTATTAGGTCCACAGAATTAGATGAAATCCTGAAGTCAGAGTGCATTTCCCTTTACTTTCAGAGTTCTTGTCAAGACTAACAAATGCTTTTGGTAGTATCACAGGAAGGCTATTCTTCTATCTGTTACCTTAAAAAGAGTGCGTAAAATGGCACTGGCCCAGAGACAGATTTAATCTTATGTAGTTGAACACTGACAGGTGACTATATTATGTGAAAGGAAAGGAACAGTGCACTCTAAAAAAATAGTGGGTTGGAGATGAGGGATAAAATGCTGGTTGCAGAGGTGAGACCTTCAGCAAGAAACACTGGCTTCTTGCCTTGGAAGGTGTCCTGCTGGAGAAGAGGTGCACAACTGACTGTCCACAAACTGACAGTTGAACACACTCAATATACCAGAATTTAATGTACTTAGGGATTCACTAGTTTTCAATTTAGATTCACTAGGGATATACAAGTCTTCAATTTAGACAGCCATACATGCAATCGACAGCAATCGCTAAATAAGTGGATATATGCCTTATGCTGGAGAGGTCTCTGATGCAGAAGATATTTTCACTCCTGGATTATCCAGAGCTTTTCTCAGGCATTGCTGTGAACCTCTAGTGAATCTGAACACAAAACCCTCTTGAATTTAAGTTCAATGGTATTTTAAATTTTGCCCATATCCTGTCTTAGATACAAGTATTTATAATGTGCTCTTTGCTATGAGGGCATTGAGTAAATCTGCCCACCACTTCCATAATTCTCTCCACATCCTAGAAGAAAAATTAAGATCTCACACAATTTTCTGGGAAAAAAAATATTTACTGTAGCACACAGAACAAGATAAGCTCCTGGATTCCTACAGATATATCTGGAGGGCTGGTGCACTGCAGAGCACAGGATAATTCAGTTTTTTGCAGTGTGACTGCTCCACCTTGGGCCATACCAAGAAGGAAAAGCGTGTCTTTCCTCTTGGACAGCATTACGCTTCAGAGCTTGGCATTCAAATATGTCCCTTCTCTGCAGAGCCATCACAAAGGTAGGTGCCAAAGCAAATCACACACACATATATGTATCTCTATGTATATATGTATAATGCAAATTCAGAATAGGAAAGGACTGGATTATACTTACAACCCACATTTGATTTTCCAATTCGTTTCAATGCGAGTTACTCACGGCAAAAATATGATACTGATTTTTTTCAAAGTACAGTACTCTGGATCTTTTAATCCTTTTTAAAATGAAAGACCTCTAAGTAAGAAACCAACCAACCAACCAACCAAGTATTTTAAGTTTGGTTTGGGTTGTTTGTTTTGTTGTTTGTTTTTTTTTTTAACTTAAACAGTTCAATAAAAATGGAAGGTGTTAAAAACCTAGTAGTTTTGCTATAGGTACAATGCCTTTGCCTTTTAAATGTAGACTTCCATGAAGGTGTACAAGACATTGTATCAGTCGTGTAAATCTGATGTCTAGCAATCCAGAAATGCAGATGTAGAAATTTACATGGTCTGTTATGCCGACTTGGAGAAAGCTCTCCAATCACCAGCATTCTGCAGGAACGTCATGCCGTGAATTAAAAAGTCAACTGGTTACCCACGCTCAGGTTCTGTTCCTGTATTTTAACTTATTTTCACTTAGTAAAACAAAATCTATAATTATTCTGAATCAATTCTCCTGCTGATGGCATTTCATTAACTCTTTTAGCACATATAAGAAGGATGAGCACTCTCAAAGAGGTTTTAGATGAGTTTAGTTGTCTGTTTTTCATTAAAAAATTGTAGCTGACACCTATGTTATGACTTTACACCTGTTACTCATGACTATCCATCTGAATGAAAACAATTTATAGCCTACTGCCATTTTTTATTTTTAAACATATTTACCACCATGCAGATCAGTAATAAATATATACAGGATTTACTCTCTGGAATAGCAAACATTTAACCCAGTTGCCCATAATTTGACAAAAGCCTATGGGATGATGGTTGTAGAAAGTAAACTGTCATGACAAGTAAATTTACAGCTAGTATCTTCCCTACTGACACAGAGATTACAGGCCCTATTACCCTTACTTTAGAATAAATTAATGAACAAACCTATTTTCAGTAAGAGGATGTCAAGTCGGCCTCTCACTATTTAATGAAGCACAGCATGTGCCCAATGCTTCACTCCTTTTCTGCCTCCCCCATTAGCAGGGCTCAGTGTAATTTCCACTTAACACAGGTTCCTTTTATCATTATTACTCAATTAAAACACAGAGGGCCTTCTTAAAACTTTCATAGCTACTGAAGGTAACTATGATAAGCACTGAGGTTCCTTTCTTTTAGCTCACATATTGAATAAAAACTAATTTCATTACGTTATTTAAAAAATCAATTATATATAGCTCCATGTAGTCTCTTCAATTATCATCCAATAGAGCAGCACTGAGAAAGACATCCTCAAAACTGAGAACAAGTGGGGTCAAGTCTGACATAGGAATTCTATATCCAGATGCCTTCTATTTATTTTTAGATTGAGAAATCAGGTGCAAAGTTGTATTTAATATTTTTGCATGAACGTGAAACTTGCACAAGTATGTATCTCAAAATACTGCTATATACTTTTCTAGTGTCAGGATAATTCCCGTAACAAGTAGAAAAATGAATAAATAAATATATAAATCTGGGTACCCCATGTAATGATAACTCTTACTGAGGGTTTTGCGTAATACTTCAGGTGATGTACAGTTTCAAATTATCTCATTTTACTTTTCACATATTTCCTGGTTCTGTTTTTATTCATAACATGATGTATTGCTAGGCTTTTCTAAGTAGTTTCAGACACTTAGGACAACTTTAGTTGTGTTCCTTCATTTAGTTCATCACTTCATTCTCATGTCTCATGAAGTGTATAAAACATAGGTGTATTTGCAGCTATTCTGAAGCCAACAGACTGTATTTAGAAAACTTTTCTTCTTCTTACACCTGTGTTTTCCATTGTGTGCAGGTTCATTTACTCTTAAGGTGGCTGGGTTAGTGGAGATGCCTGGTACAAGGTGGAAGTTGCTCTTGCTGGGTGAACATAGGCATTGTTCAGGCAGAGAAAGTACTAGGAGACTGTGGGGTTTGACAGGTAGAGACAAAGCAGAATGCTGGGAGCTTGCAGCTTCTGCAGTAAGGTGTGGGGCAGAGCTTGCTATCATCTCTGGGATGGCCAACAGCACAGACCTACCCACAAGGACACAGGGGGCAGAGGTTTAGCTGCTTACTAGTGGTTTGATTCCCATTCCATTGGACCATAGCTACTCTGAGTGCTTTTTGAAAAATCAAACACTTACTTTTCTTTTGAACCTCTCAATCATTTGGAAAGCAGCCATAGCAGGAATCTGCAGACATTCAAACTTGTGTTGTCCTGCTAACTAGACCATTTTCTTGTCTTGACTTTGATGCTGTGCCTTTCAAATTCAGTTAAAAAGCACATCTGTTATACTCACGTTTCTCCTGCACATAGAGATAGCCTTCCATTGTCCACTGACTTGGTGGTCTGTAATCCTGGTTGGCTGATTTCATTCTTTGCATGAGTCTCTCCACTTCCTGCCTAGTGCTTTCAAAGTTATTCCGGGTCTAACACCAAGAAAAGGAAACAAACAAAAAACCATATTATCTCATGAAAGTACTAATAATGCCAAGGAGACTGTTTTGGAGACCAGTAGAAGTATTTGCCAGAGACGTAAGCGGGGGAACAAAAAAAAAAGGCAATAAAGAATAATACTCTTCATTGCTCTAGAAGCATAGGAATAACACAGTAATGCAGAATTCAATTGAAACACACAAGTGTAAAGCAAACACAGTTGAGAACAGTAACATTCCTCCTTCTGCACGTCACTAACCTCAGAAAGGAGGTAATTTTATATCTTTAGGTATGCTTACAAAGTAAGGATATAGACAGACAGACAGGCACAGACAGACACCAGGCTGATAGCATAACCCCAAATGTGAAGTAGTAAGTCTCACTGAACCACTTGAAGTACAGTACATAAAACACTGATTTGGGTCAATGCCAGGCTAATGTCCCTAGACAGCTGTGGTCTCTCCACATGTAGAAAAGACAAATGTACTGTGTATCCGCATCTTCAGCAGTACCACAGCTGCTGATACTCAGAATAGGCAGGTTACTATCATGAACATTTTTTTCACAGGACTATGCATACACAACTAATAAGTCTAACATAAATACGCTAGGAAAAAAAGAGGTCACAAGTGACAGAACTGTGCCAAAAGCATGGAAGTACTGTGTCTGGCCTAAATATCACATATGTAACCAGGCATCTCACCAAGCAAACAATTAGGTAAAATGTTGGGATATTCATATTTGCTAATACCTATATGTATGGACATGGACATTTTTCCTATTGAATTCAGTGAAGCCAGGGTTTCCCCTCCACATATCTAGCATGGTATAGTACAGGAGAATTGTTATGAGGTGCCAGAGGTTTGATAATACGCATGTTAAATCTTCTTCCTAAGGAGAAGCACTTTTACTACAGGGGAAGGTAAAATTCTCTGAACTTTTCAGACCAAACTTAACAGAAGTAATTTTGAGACCTTCAAGAGAGGCATGTCCCGTGTTCAACTACAGCAGTCATTTTTTCTCCTTCTTAGTAGCTGGTGCAGTGCTGTGTTTTTGACTTTCAGTCTGGGAACAACGCTGATAACACCGATGTTTTTAGATGTTGCTCAGTAATGTTTACTCTGACCAAGGACTTTCTCAGGCTCATGCTCTGCCAGGGAGGAGGGGAAGCTGGGAAGAAGCAGAGACAGGACACCTGACCCAAACTGGCCAAAGGGCTATTCCATACCACAGCACGTCAAGCCCAGTATATAAACTGGGGGGAGTCACCCAGAAGGCCCAGATCGCTGCTCGGGTTGGGCTGAGTATCGGTCAGCAGGTGGTGAGCGGTTGTATTCTCTCCTCGTTTCCCTTAACATTATTATTATTGGCGGCAGCAGTAGTGGTTTTGTTTTACACCTTAGTTACTGAACTGCTCTTATCTCAACCTGTGGGAGTTACATTCTTCCGATTCTGCTCCCCATCCCTCTGGGAGTGGGGGGAGGAAGAAGGAGGGGATTGAGCAAGCAGCTGCATGGTTCTGGGTTACCGGCTGAGCTTAAACCATGACAACATGCCATTGAAGGGAGGAATGTCCCCATTTTGAGAACTTACCTCTGTTTGTCTATTAAGGTTTTAATTACTGTTTTTAAGCAGCCAGGACACTGAATCAAATTTTAGAAAACAAAGCCAAATGGACATACAAACTACATCACTGGCCAGCTGGAAGTGGAAGTGACAACAGGTCATGTTAGGACACAGTAGCCTGTTAAGTGCTGTCGGTCTGCCACTACTCTGCTACTCCTATGGCTGTTACTCTCCTGCTTTAACACGTAGGACAATTTTAAGAGGACAAATAGAAGTTCAGATCAACTGTTCTCTAAGACCTGAATGCAGAATGCAGTGGAGAGTATTACTTTTAACAGCTACAGTAGACAGGCTGAACCAAATTTTCCCTGAACAATGTCCTCCGTTTGAC